ATTGTCTCTTATTTTGGATAAACCAAAAAATGTGGGAGTGTTCAGGGCAATCAAACCGGAACTCAAGAAAGTGTTCGTCCAAAGGCTTTTAAGCGACAACGCAAACGGATGAGGATTTTGGCTAATGTTAACATGGATGTATTTTATTAACGTTAACATGGATGTATTTTATTAATCATACAATCTTATGTTATGACTTATAACTTAGCTTTGCACTAGTATTTTGGCTTATGTTAACTAGCCATTTTGTAAATTATGGAGATCTATTTTGGCTAATGTTAACTAATGTTAACTAGGATTTTCTAAATTATGGAGATCTTATGTACTTGTATTTGTTGAAGTTGCATGTATTGGCCACTATTATTTTTTCTTCTGTTGGGTGATAGAGTTTAAATCAAGCTACATTTGCAAATTAAACCCAATTCTATTAGCAGGTAATAGAAACAAAACAATTGTCAATTTTTTTTAAGATTCATAATATACATGGCAAAAATATGCTCCAATTAACCCATATCATGAGATTTGTAGCATTACTCTATTACACAATGGCAACAATTTGTAGTTCTAGTCTAAGCAAACACAAATCTGGTGAACAGTACTGTTTTTCTTATCCTGCTTCTTAGTCCGAGACTGCACCAAACGCTTCACTAAGTTAGTCCAGCTTAGTCCAGTCTAAGCCAGTCCAGCTTAGTCCCGGCAGCTAGTCCAGTCCGAGACAGTCCGGCGCAACAAACGCACCCTAAAGGGAGATGATGACTTAGCCTCACAATGGTTTAGCAATAATATGATTTAAATTCTTATTTAGTGAGAATTGAACTTAGGACCTCTCATTTACAAATAAAGAAGAATATTGATAAACCGTAGTACTAAATGAATTTGATCTCTGTACTTGGATTGTCTACGTTCTCTGACTTTTTCTTTTTGTTGCCTCCATTTTCTTAATTTGATCTGTGTACTTAGATTGTCTACGTTCTCTGACTTTTCTTTTTGTTGCCTCCATTTTCTTATGCTTGTAGGATTCTTTACAGTATTTGTTTCACCTTTGGAATGCGGGATGACAAATCTTATTTAATTGCCTTGGTAAAATATATGCTTTTCTCATTAACTCTGTGCGCATTGATTTTAGGATGATGCTATCCACATTCATCATTTTACTTTTTATATATTCTTCTCAATTATGTGGTACATCGGGTGAAATGAAGGACAAAAGAAATAAGAGGTGTCTGTAAGGATAAAGGGGTGTGAGAATAGTACAAACTTGATTCTAAACTCTTCTTATTTCTTATAGTTTAAATGAATTTAGTATAGATATTATCGTTTGTAAAGAAACAAAATGGTATATAGTCTATATGGGAAGTATATGTATGGATCTTATGACCCGTTCGTAATTTTCTATTAATTTCGCCCCATTCTATCTGAAATGAGTAAAATGACCCTAGAAGGGTTATTATGTTTCATGTTGGACCTTTGAGCTCGAGACATGCTCTGGAATTTATCTGCAAGTATTTTGGAGAAAATGTTACTATGGGATGAAAGTCCCGTAACACTTTACAGAATATTTTTTGAAGCTCGAATAAATTTATACGAGAAATATCAATGCAATATGGTTGAGAATGAGAAATACATGGGATTTATAGGTATGTGGTCTAATATTCTAATGGATAAGATGTTGAGTTTTTGCCCATACGTCCCGGTTTCAAAACTGCTCCTCTCCTAAATGATTTTATTTTTGCTACTCCGGCATCTTAAGGATTTTATGCATATATGGTTTCTAAACCAGAGGATTAAAGCAGGGAATTAGTATGTTCCAAAAGAGAAATTAATTTTAGAAAATTTTCGTTTTTGTCTACTCATTTGTTTTTTGCCCCCTCAAAACATAGTAGCAGTAACTACTCTGACATTGAGGCCTAAACATCGTCAGCTATGAATTGCTCCTACTGAGGATGACACTTTTTCTTAATTTAATTCTCTATTATAAACATCTATCTTAGAATGGATCTTATGACTTGAATATATTGGTATCTTTCCTTGATTGTGGTACTCATAACTTAAACTATGCTTTAAGAATGTTGTTATCCATGTAGTAGAGAGTCCGAGATTCATTAGGTGTGGCACTTCGAGATAATGTGTTGGAATAAATGTTGTTTCTGTTTGGACTTGATTTTACACTATCGACCCGAGTAATCGAGGTCGTTGAATGAGCATGATTTTAGACCGTTGAACAACAAAGTGGTTGAAATGATTTTTAATTATGATTGAGAAATAATATTGTGATTTTAATCATGATATTATCTCTTAGTAATATATTAAATTATTTGAACCTAATATTACTCTAAATCCAGAATATGCACGACATCAAATAATGAAGCATGCAGGACAAGACAATATTATGACTTCACTTGGAAACTGTTAATGGGGTTGGATTTTGAATTAATTATTATCCATTTTAAATTATGGTGATAATTAGTAAAAAGTGAACGGGGATCAGGATGCATGCATGGATGGGTGTAAAGGTGGTGGAATTTATGATGATGAGATAAGAAGCCTAGGTAGGCTAGGCTATGATGGTGAGAGAAGAAGCATAAGTAGGCTAGGCTATGATGATGAGATAAGAAAGTTTTTGGTTGGATAGACTTTCATTTTGTCAGAAAGTCATCGGTAGCCATCTGGAAGATAGGCTTTAGCCTATGCCACAGATCAGTATTTTAGTTTCGCGAGTTGGAGTTGCAGTTGGACTCTACAAAAGTATCCGGCCATGCAAAGCAGAAGATATCAATGCTATAAATACAAGGTGCGCTGCATCATTTAAGCTCCCTCTAAGTCAACACACAAACTACCCTGCGCAAACTCTCTCTCTAGGCGAAACCTCTCAACAACCTTGAGATTTTTTTATTTTCTTTTTCCACCGACATATCTTCAATTGGAATAAACAACACTGTGAAAACAACCAGTGACATCTTCAGTTTGGAGAAATAGCACTGTTGCCATAGAATCAGTCGACCGCGGAGCACCTTCAGTTTGGATAAACAGCACTGCGTCGAGACCGATTGATTATCTATCCAAGTCTCGGTCAAGAAGGATTTTCGAGTCCTTATTGGCAAGGGTCATCTCACTAGCCTTCTTGACGAAGTGAGGTGTTACAAATTACTAAGCTCGGCGCATTGAACGTCAAGTTGTTTTATGATTGGATATTCACAAGTAAGTTTTAGAGTTCGGCATTTTGATGGTCTAACCACATTCACCATCAAGACATACATCTCTTTTGAGTACTTGTGTCCGTATAGTTTGGTGGCGTACTTATACTCTTACGAATATAATCATCGTGACCAAACCTGACGCCAATGATCCGTGAACTTTGCAAGACTAACAACCTTGTCTTCAGGCTCTAGAACCCGAAGGCCGAGACGTGTTCCTTCCTCGGCTGTAGTCACAAGATCAAGAAGTCAGCAGTGCGCCCAATGCAACATCAACACATTCTACTCCCCGGTCGAGCTCGGCCGATGAGTTGGCATGCCCCGCACATAACCGAATAACGTAGTTAGCTTATTAATTACTCAACCTGCGCGCCACGTAGGCTTGGTAGTTTTTAGGATTAACAGTTTCTTACGTGTGTTTAAATTTGGTAATAACACTCTATTCAGAGCATAATTTTTGGTAGATTTAATAATTTGTCACTTAATTTAAGTCATCATGCATGTTATAGTTTAGTCACTTTTTTGGTGTCGGTCAGCATGCATCAATCTTGGTGTCTATCTGAAAAAAAATCTAGGTTGAGGTTTGTCAATGAACATCATGTCCCAAATTTAGTGAATGATCGAAATTTAAATAAGTACAAGAAATTTGAATCAAACTTACCGTAAGTGGAAAATTTTGTATTAAATAAGAGTGAGCGAAATTATTGAGTATTAAGGTAAAAGAAAAAGGGCACAAGTGAACAGAGCCAACTAAACCAAACCAGTCTAACCAAAGCGATTTGGTTTCTCAAATCGTCGATCTATCCAAATCGAATTGACCTCTATAAAAAATGAAAAGGCTTCAAAAATTGATGCCAAGAGGGACACATAAATAACAAGTTTAGCGCTACACCATTAGCATCTCCACCAATTGGCAGAGGGTAATGACAATTTATGGTAAGGGCCATAAAATTGCCTTTATTTTTTACTCTAAAAGGTAATTGTCTTTGTGCAAGTTCTTCAGTTTGAAAAGGTGAAGATGAAAAAATTTAAAATCACTAAAATAAATTAAAATGACGAAAATTAAAATGACATAATTTTATTTTCTGAAATTTGTTAATTTTCTTGTTTGTTATTTTTAAACTATCAATTATAAAAATAGAAAAATGACGCCAATTTACATCAAAATCTCAAATCGTGAATGATAGCCTTGACAATAATGAAGAAGGGCAATCAAAGAAATCACTCGGCTACTCATATTAATCCGACTATTGAAGATGATCGAACTCTTGCCAATTAAAAAATTAGAAGCTTAAGTTGATGCACTTTTTGCAATAAAATTTCATTGTTTATTAGTAACAAATTATTTAATTTATTATAAATGATTTGTTTTTTAAATAATGTGATATTTCTACAAATAAAAAATCAATGTTCTTATAATAAACACTTATCCCAAAGGCACCTCGTTACAAAGCACTTTCAAACACAGCATTATTCTTGTTTAGGGGTTATGATCAAAGTTTAAAACCCCAGATTCTGACTAGTCCAATTCAAAAGACTCATGGCAATTAACTATTGCATAATATTTCTTCAAAAAATCCACGATTTTTATTGACCAAAAAAAAAACCCCACGATTTTTATTGACCAAAAAAACAAATCACGATTTCTGACCTTTTTCCACACAAATTTGACGCATTGTAAAATAAACCCAGAACAAGAAAAACCCAAAAAAAATCTAAAACAAAATAAAAACAGAAGTACAGAAAGCAGGAAAACTTTGAGTTCAAATAAAATAAATGAGAATAAGAAGGAAGAAGGAAGAAGGTGCTCAGAACGATTATGAATGGATGAGATAGTTTCTCCTCATACAAGATCAGATTAACGAGATTATAAATTTCTCATCATCATCGCACCTGCTTGCCTCCTACAAACCGTAATAATACAACGAAAACAGAGATGAGAGGATTTGGTTATGGAGTTCGGGGCGGCGAGAAGTTTGAATTGAGAAAGAGTGAAGGAATAGGTTGGAGGGAGGAGACGAAGAAGCAGATTGGTAACTTAGGTTTTGCTTCGTGGTGTTAGTATTTATAGCGGGGAACAGTGCCCTTGATTGCCTTCCCCTTGTGGGCTAAGAATTGGGTGGATATGGGCTACGAATGATAACTCTCAGCTGGGATTGTTTTTAATCGAAAAGGCTGATGTTCAGGCCCATCTATTATTCTTGGCAGTCCTTATTCAAAGGGTCTCTCCAAAGGGGAAGTTTCTTTTGGAGCTTACTAAATGTAAAATCACCGATAAGTGGGGATGGCAATGGTAGATAACTGCATGAATGGAACAGATGTGGGTATGAAAATTTGGGAATGGTGAAAAATCTTGAATATTATTCAGTTATGATTTTGAATATGATTATAGGGCTCCCAATTTGTATCCGTCCCCGAATTCGACCCAAATAATATATAATATAATTTATATATTTTCTTTATTCACCGAATTCATTACCTTCATAATATAAAAGTTGCATTTTATAAGAAAGTTCAAAAGTTTTGAATCAAATCAATGAGAACTCAATGGTACTTATGGAAGATATCAAAGATCAGCTAATGTCATCAATGTTTTAAATACAATGCTTTAATTTTTATAGTCCACAAGATATGAATCATTTTTTTTAATAAACGATATTTTTACACTGAGAGGGTGGGGTGATAGGCTAAGCCTCACAATAGGTTAGCAATAATATGGTTCAAACTCACATTTGGTGAGAATCGAACTTAAGACCTCTCACTTAGAAGTGAAAATGAATACAACTAAATCGTAGTACTAAGTGGCATTTGAATCATTTTATACATCCAATATTAGATGATGAAATTAATTTTTACTAAATTATAATGCGTAAACAGAAGGAATATATTTTTCGTATTGACGAAGATGGATATAACAGTTAACCGATGGGAAATCTGTTACCTTGTGGGTATAGTTGACAAACCCCGACCTAGATCGAGGCATGATGGCCGTCACCTGAGGATAATGTAGTCATGTACACAATGTGGAAGCAATATTAATATATGAAATGCGAATAAACAAAAAAAATCAAATCAACTAGAGCACTAGATAAGATAAGGTGCAAGTGTGATATTAAGTGTGATTGCACAACCAGAGCATAAGTAGCCTAAGTGAAGTCCAGCAGGACGAATACTAATTATGCCACACCCAAAGGAGATCCTACATTGGTGATAATCTGTCAGAACCTCTGTCAAATCCTCATAAGCCACCAACAAGCACTCTTACCTAAAACCTGGAGGGGCGCAAAACAGAAAGTGTGAGTGGGCAAAAACAAAGTTTTCCAAAACCATTTCAACATAAAAGATAGTAACCCCGTGTCGTAAAACCTGTATAATTTCCCAAAAAATAGAATATATACATATCTCAAAACCATGCTCTGAATAGTAATGTTCAAAAGTATGTCATGCCAAATATCTCAAAATAAGTGAATAAGTAACTCAGGTGAATTAACTTATGAGAAGTAACATATCAGCCGAATCCACCTAAAGTGGCCTGTACGGCTGAATCTATAGCTCAACAAGTATGGCTGCACACGAGTTAGAACCACCTAAAGTGGTTTGTATGACAGGACTAGGTGTAAAATAAATACGCTCTAGTGCTACGATTACTTGAAGACTGTGCGAATAATCGCGGGTCACCTACGAGTCGGAACCACCTATAGTGGTCTGTACTACGGGACTATGCACCTAACTTGGATCCAAGGTGAGTGCATGGTGCGGGAAGTGAACATCATGTGAAGGACTGTGCCCTAACCACGGGTAGGAGCACTAACACTGGGGTGCAAGTTTATAAGCTCTCAACACACATCACATAATCATCAATTCACATAACACAATCTACAACTCACATGGTACTTACCTAAGTGTCCACAGCGTCAAATCACATTTATGCATACCATATAAATTCATAGTCTAAGCATAAATCAATAGGCATGACATTTCAAAACATAATTTCATTTAAACATATTTTCTGGGAAAAATACCAAGTATATAAGTATATACTGAAAACCAAAAGCCCACTCACTGATATGTGGAAGGGTCGTAGCCCCCAAGTCTCGCTTGATTACACTCGTTCTCAAGATAGGTCTCACCTATATGTGAAACAACTATATAAACATTATTTTAAAGCACATAACCAAAACTAGTTAATAACTTCTCATACATTGCTCAATTTGGGTGTTTGAATATACCAACGAGATATACTCAACCCCACAAACATCCCCATATTTTTAGAAAAAAATTCTCGATCCCCACATGCCTTCACTCGCTGGCAATGGCACGGCCAGACGTGCCCTAAAGCGCAGGCCACTGCCGTCATTTAGCCTGACGCCGTCAGGAATATTCCACAGAATATTTCGTTAAATATTAACAGAAGCTTACAACATTACCTTACGCAGTCATGAATATTCCATTAATTTTGATGGAATATTCTTCGTCTTCTCCGGTGAACCTCGCCGAAGCCGCTGCTGGCCACCGCCTGTGTCATCGGAAACTGGAAAATTTTCAAATCTTCATATCTTCTTCATTTCTCATCCAAAATTCATGAAATTTGTACCAAACTGAAGCTTAGGATGAGAAGAACACATTCTTACCACTTTAAGGTCCTAAAACCAATGGAATCTCACCGGAAAAATTCGAGGAAACCGGCCAAACCCTGTAACTAGTCAAACCTGAGCTTCCTAACGTCCAAAACACTTCAAAATTGTCGTAAGCCCCTGCAAAGCTGTTTTAAGACTCCCTTAAGCCTTAAATCTCAGTGAAATTACAACGATCACAGTGCATCTTACCAGAGCTCGGGTATCTCGCGTTCCCGTGAACCGTTCGTCGTCCCAAAGATACAATTCAACTTGTGAAATCACGAGGAGTACGATGGTGATCTTAAACAACTTGATCCGTGATTGGAAGTGTTGGTTTGGAAGCTGTCCGTACGATTGTACAGAAAATGGGAAAAATCCGAGAGAGAAAAGAGAGAGAGTTAACGAGAGTTTGGGTGTGTGTGTGTGGTCCAAATGGCAACAAAACAAAACCAATAAAAATTTTACTTCTAATTGAGTCCAAAATATTAGGAAGAAAATGGATTGGCCCAAATCCTTGGCCTATTTACACACCACCACCAAACGTCTAAGGGTATATAAGTCATTTCACACCATCGATAAAATATTTCGGGACGGGCTGTCACAACCTACCCCCTTAAGAAAATTTCATCCTTGAAATTTCACACATTAACTTACGCTCTTCCGTCTCCTAGGTGGCTTCCTCCACCGAGTGATTCCTCCACAAAACTTTCACCAAGCGCACAGTCTTATTCCTCAAAACCTTATCTTTCCAATCCAAAATTGTTACTGGCTCCTCGTCATAAGTCAAATATGGATTAATTTCCAATGGTTGAGGAGGTATCACATGTGACGGATCTGAAACATAATGACGAAGCATGGGAACATGGAACACATCGTGCACTTTAGACAACTTTGGAGGCAACTTAAGCCTGTAAGCAACTTCACCGACTCGCTCGGTGATCTGATACGGTCCAATGTATCTAGGACTTAGCTTACCTTTCTTTCTGAACCATACAACACCTCTCCACGGTGACAACTTCAGAAACACCCAATCACCAATTTTATACACTCGGTCAGTAGCATGCTTGTCTGCTAAACTTTTTTGTCGATCCTGGGCCGCTTTCAGGTTAGTCTTAATTACTTGAACATTCTGAGTAGTCTCATCCACAATCTCAGGGCCCACCAAATGTCTTTCACCAACCTCTGACCAACATAAAGGTGTACGACAAGATTTGCCATAAAGTGCCTCAAAAGGTGACATACCGATGCTCGAATGGTAGCTATTATTATATGCAAACTCTATCAAATCTAACCACTGATGCCAGGCGTCGCCAAACTGCAATACCGAAGATCTCAGCATATCCTCCAATGTCTAAATAGTCCTATCAGATTGTCCATATGTTTGGGGATGATATGTCGTACTATAAAGTAACCTCGATCCAAGAGCCTTATGAAATGCCACCCATAATTTAGAAGTGAATCTAGGATTCCGATCCGAGATAATACTAACTGGAACTCCATGATACTTAACAATCTTTGATATGAACAATTCGGCTAATCGACTTAAAGAATATTTCTCTCACTGGAATAAAATGCGTTGACCTAGTAAGCTGATCAACTATCACCCAAATTCCATCATAACCATTTCGTGTATGAGGAAGCTTGTACACAAAGTCCATGGTAATGTTTTCCCATTTCCACTATGGAACGAGAAATGGCTACATCAATCCAAATGGCTTTTTCCTTTCAGCTTTGACCTGCTGACAAATAGCACACCTACTCACATACTCAGCACTTTCTCTTTTCATACCCAGCCAATAATAAAATGGTCGAATGGTATGATACATTTAAGTACCTCCAGGATGCATTGCATAAGCCGAACAGTGCGCTTCATCCAAAATTTCTTTCTTTAATTCCACATTTTTCGGCACGTACATTCTATTCTCCTACATAAGCATGCCATCAGTCTCTCGGATTCTGAGATCTTTCTTTTTCCCTTGATTTCTTGCCTCAATTAACTCCTGGATTTCTTCATCATTCATTTGAGCCTCGAGCACTCGATCAATTAATATTGGTCTGACCTAAAAATTAGCAAGTAAGGTTTCATCTGGTTTTTCCACCCCTAACTTCACTCCAATGGACCTCAAATCCACAAGAAGAGGAAATTACAAGTGTACAAAGCATTAATTCTCCCTTGAGGCTTCCTACTAAGTGCATCCGCCACCACATTTGTACGACCAGGATGATACTCAATCGTGCAATCATAATCACTAAGCAATTCAATCCACCTTCATTGTCGAAGATTAAGTTCCTCTGAGTAAAAAGATATTGAAGACTTTTATGATCCGTAAAGATCTTACAATTTTTGTCATAAAGATAATGTCTCCACATCTTCAAAGCAAAGATAATAGCTGCTAATTCAAGATCATGAGTAGGATAATTCATCTCATGAGGCTTCAACTGTCGCAATTCATAAGCAATCACCCTACCATGCTGCATCAACACATATCCCAGACCATTCAAGGAAGCATCATTGTAGATCTCAAAATTACCACTATCATCAGGAAGCGCCAAAACAAGTGCATGAGTGAGACAATATTTCAATTGTTGAAAACTCTGCTCCCAGTTATCATCCCACTCAAACTTAACATCCTTCCTGGTTAACCTCGTCAGCGGTAATGCAATAATTGAAAAATCCTTAACAAACCGTCTATAATAACCAGCTAGGCTAAGAAAACTCCGTACCTCAGTGACGGTTCGTGGTTGCTCCCAATTCTTCTTATTCTTCTTCTTCCCCAAATCTCCGTAAAAAATCGCTCTATTTTAGCTCTCAATCCGGAAAAATAAAAAAAAAAATAAAAAAACACCCCAGAAATTTCATGGATTTCAAAATTTTATTTCCGAAAATCTACACGATTTAAAAATTCAAAACAGGAAGATGAGATTACCGGCGCTGCATGATGTAGGAGGATTCTTTTGCAGATCTTTGAGTTCCTTCAAGATCCGCTTGGACGCCATCTATGAAACCTTGGATAAATCAACACACGCATATCAAAATCCATAACCAAAACCCATGAGACACAACCAACAACTTACACACCTACGAATAGAGCTCAATTCTCTCTCTCTCTCTCTCTCTCTCTCCCCCTCTCTCTCTCTCTCTCTCAGAAGAAGATATTGTATTCGTACCTGAGAGAAACAGTTACAAAGAGAGAATGAGATGGAGGTAACGACAGCGACGAATCGAGCCCCCCAGATTGACTCCGAGTACTGAGATGTGGGGTTAGGGGGTGGGGTGGGATAGGGTGGGTTTTTGGATGGGAGGGGAGGTGAAGAGAGTGGAGGCTTGGGAGGTGGTTGGGAGGCTCAGGAGGAAGAAGAGGGGGGCTTGCGGGGGAGGTGGGGGTGGGGTTCTAGGTTTTCAGGTTTTTTGTTTTTAATTATAATTTTTTTTGCCACGTGGCACAAATGTGGCATCCACGTTATCTCTTAACGGATCAATAGATATAAAATGTTACGGATGTATTATATTGAAACAAAATAGTACTTAAGGTATGAAAGTGAAATGTTTTGAAGATGTTGTATGAGGTTGCAATAGATTTCAAACATGAGATGGTTAAGTGTAATTTACCCAAAAAAAATCATCAATTAAATCATGATCCTTCATTTTTGGTACTACTGAATAGTCTAAACTGTTGAAGGAAAACTGCCACATCTAAACTATTTTAAAAAAAATTATAAAAATTTAAAAAAAAAAAAAAGAAAAAAAAAAAAGAGAAAACTAAACGGAAATATAAAGGTAGGGCAACACATGAAATCCTATCAAACGACATCATTAACATAACGGCTACGTGGACGAAGTGGAGCGCTGTTAGAATTTGAAATTTGAAATTTAAGAGTGAAAAAAATAAAATAAAAAAGAAGCAGAAAACCAAAATCCTACAAATGCTGAAGGCTTTTCTACTTCTTTCAAACACTCTTGAAGCACCCAAACGCTCCCATCGATCCTCAGCTTTCAATGCACTAGAATCGATTTCTTCAAGGTTTTCCTTCTTACCCCTTTTTTTTTTTTTTTTTTAATTTCTAATTTTTTGTTGAATAATTTTGTGCTTGATGTTTGTATTTAGAACGTAAAGAGACATTCCTGAATTAGATTCGATTAATTTAATGATCTTTCTTGTTTATGTTTTTGGTTTGTTCCAAATTCTCATAAATCAAACAATTGGAAGACGTAATCTCTTATTCTAACATGGTTTTTAACGAATTGAAGTCCTAAATTTTTTATCCAGGTTGGTATTCGAAAATCTCCCCGAAGATGAATGATCTAATGACCAAGTCATTCCTCAGTTACGTGGATCTCAAGAAGCAGGCTATGAAAGATCTCGAGTCCCAACCTGACCTTGAAATGGGGAAACTTGACGCCGCTGACGAACAGAACCTCGCCGGATTTTTCGAACAAGTGAACGCAATGAAGGCTGACATGGAAGAGATCACAAACCTCCTTGTTGATCTTCAGGACCTGAATGAAGAAACCAAGTCCACTCACAGTGCTAAAGTGCTCAGAGGGTTGAGAGACAGAATCAATGCTGATATGGTTACTATTCTGAGGAAAGCGAAAAGCATCAAAGCGAGTTTGGAGTCGCTTGATCGTTGTAACGTGGCTAATCGAAGTGTGTCTGCGGCCTACAAGGAAGGAAGCCCTGTTGATCGAATGAGGATTTCGGTGACGAATGGTTTGAGAATTAAGCTGAGAGAGATTATGAATGATTTTCAGATCTTGAGAGAACAGATTGTTAAGGAGCACAAAGACGGTCTCAAGAGGAGGTATTTCAGTGCCACTGGGGAGGAAGCGAGTGATGAAGTGATTGATAAGATGATTTCGACAAATGGGCAGGTCAAAACTTTCGAAGGAAAGGCGGAGCTGGTGATGGAGAATCAGGAAAGGCATGAGGTCTTGAAGGACATACAGAGAAGCTTGACGGAGCTCCATCAAGTGTTCCTTGACATGGCTGTGTTGGTTGAAAAGCAAGGCGAACAGTTGGATGACATCGAACAGAATGTGGCTGGTGCTGGGGCTTATATTAATGATGGAACTAATGCGCTTTCTGATGCTAAGAAGATGAAAAAGAGAAGAGGAAAATGGGTTTGTTGGATTGGCGCTATTGTGTTGTTTATGTTGCTTGTGTGTCTGGTTTCCATCTTTGCTTAATATCTGAAATTTTTGGAGGTAAAAGTTCATGTTCAACCATGGTTTGATTGTTACTGTAGATGGAATTTTGGCCCGTGGATTGCATCATTGCTTTACATTTGTCATCTAGAATGCAATGCGTGATGACATGGATCAGTATTCTTTTCTGGGTGCTGCAATATGTCTGATGAAATTTCTTCATCCTTGCACGTCTTTTTTCTTCCTGTTGTTTGTAATTTTCGGAAAAGAGGTTCTTTAGTTTGGATATGCTTGGCGTAGTTCTTACTTGTGATCTGAATGCCCTTTTGTAATTGGAGATTCAATTTGTTAGAATTGTTCATTGAAGCTGGTGTCTGTTTCCTTTTCATGTTGTGTCAATAAATATGTCAGAAAGTTATCTGTCGTCTTGGTCCAGGACTTGGAGAGCTTTAGGAGCTTTGGGTTCATAACGTAACATGTAAGGTTCGAAGCGAGGGTGTTCAATGAGTTCATTAGGATAGCGAGAGCTTGAAATTACTTTTAGTAGATATTGAGGCATACGAAGATTAAAATCTTTGAAACTCATGTTTTGATTGCCAATGTCATCGCATAAATTTGTTGCAAGAAATAGGGTCTAAATGCTAATTTAGGGCTTATTTGGGCTTTCAATTCTTGATATCATTCTTCTCACAAAGGAGGCAAATATACATAGAGGAAATTGTAGCAAAGGTCCCTCAACTTTATTTCTGTGACCATTGATCTCTTAACTTGTCAAAATGTGCAGTTATGGTCCTTTCCGTTAACTCTGTCAATATTTCTGTTAAACTCAGCCATGTGTGGTGCGTGTAAGGGCAAATAAGGAAACATGATTTCGTGAGGATTGAAGTCGATGAAAGTAGCAAAGTGGGCTGGGGTTACGAACAAAAACGTCCCAAGGGAAACTTCCTCCATGCCCAATTGAAACTTCATCCCCAACTGAAACTTCTTCCATGCCTAATCTCATATTCTTCAAATTCCCACCATGTATGACAATAATCGTCTTTTTGTGAAGAAAAACAACAGCAGAAACTTACTAGTTTTCTGCAAAATATCAGTGGATTCGAAGCGCGTATGGATGATGTAGTGTGGAAGAGGAGAAGGCTTGACTCCACTAGTATATAAGAGAAGGCATGAAGGAGAAGGTTCACTGAACCCAAGAGCAACGTGAACGATCTGGAAGCCACTGCCAATGAGGAGAAGGCATGGAGGTGTTACCAGTAGTACCAAGAAGCCGATAAGGAGGAATATTGTAACATCCCACATCGACCAACGAAGAGATGTATATGCCCACCTTCTATAGCACAAGGCCTTTTGGGAGCTCGCTGGCTTCGGATTCCATAGGAACTCCGAAGTTAAGAGAGATTGTGCGAGAGCAATCCCAGGATGGGTGACTTACTAGGGAGTTCTCAGAAACAAAATCGTGCGGGCATGATCGGGGCCCAAAGCGGACAATATCGTGCTACGACGGAGTCGAGCCCAGGATGTGGTGGAGCCTGAGTCAGAATGTGACGGTTTGGTATCAGAGTCAATCCCTGATCGGAAGTGTGTTGACGAGAACATCGAGCCCCTAAATGGGGTGGATTGTAACATCCCACATCGATCAACGGAGAGGGGGTGATGTGCCTTATATGTACATGCCCACCTTCTATAGCACGATGCCTTTAGGGAGCTCACTGACTTTGGATTTCATAGGAACTCCGAAGTTAAGCGAGATTGCGCGAGAGCAACTCCAAGATAAATGATCCACTGGGAAGTTCTTGTGAGAGTCAAGCCCTTGTCGGGATGTGACAAATATGAGTAGGCAAAGTATGGGAAGGAATGTAATTCTATTTTTTGGCCGTCTTTTACTCTTGGACAAATTTTATATCTACTTCCAGTGGATTATTGCCATACATGGAGGTGATTTCAAGAATATGAGATTGGGTTGAGGATGAAGGAAGTTTCAATTGGGTACAGATGAAATTTCCATTGGGATGTTTTTCTTCGTAAACCCCAGCAACCCGAGCCCCCTTTGCTGCTTTCATCAACTTCAACCCTCGCGAAATTATGTTTCCTTATTTGCCCTTACACGTGCCACACATGTGATTGAGTTTAACGGAAGTATTGAGAGTAAACAACAAGGACTATAGTTGCACATTTTGACAAGTTGAGGGACTAATGATCACGAAAATAAAGTTGAGGGACCATCGCTCCAATTGAGTTAGAATTGAGGGACGATTTCTACAATTTGCTCATATATATAATACAATGATTTACAAGGTAAGAATATGCAACAAAATATTGTCATAATTATACAGACTCAAATCCCCATAATTACACACAAAAGTCGACTTCCTCCAGCACTCCCCCTCAAGTTGATGCGTATATATCGTTGATGCCTAACTTGTTGAGTGAGTTGTAGAAGACTTGACTTGCAACGACTTTTGTCAGGATGTCTGCCAACTGATCTTCAAATTTTACAAAAGGAAATTGAATAATATTTGTATCTAACTTTTCCTTAATAAAATGGATATCCACTTCCACATGTCTAGTCTGATCACGCTGAATTGGATTACGTGAAATATCAATGGCCATTTTTTAGTCACAAAACTGATTTGATGCAGACGTCGGTGGGTACCCAATTTCCATAAGTAACTGCCGAAGCCATACTAATTTGCATACTCCTATCACCACACCTTTGTATCTGCTTCTGCATTTGACAAAGTAACCACTTTCTGTTTCTTGCTTTGCCAAGTCACTAAATTGCCTCTCATAAATGTAAAATGCCCCGAAGTAGACTGTCGATCAGTAATATTTCCCACCCGATCTACATTAATATAATCATCCACCTAAAATGTCCATTCTTCGAAAACATGGTGCCTCTACCTAGTGCAAACTTCAAGTAGCAAAGGATTTGTTCAACCGCACCCATGTGGGTTTCACTTGCATAATGCATAAACTAGCTTACAATACTTACAACATAGGCAATGTCAGGTCTAGTGTGAGACAAGTAGATTAATCGCCCAACCAACCTTAGATAATGGTCTTTGTTAGTTGGGATTTGGTCAGGGTACACGGCAAGATGATGATTCTGAATGATAGAAGTGTCAGCTAGTTTATGGTCAAGCATTCTGGTTTTTGTCAACAAATCTAGAACATATTTCCTTTGAGATAGAAATACGCCTTGTTTCAACCTAGCCACTTCTATACCCAAAAAATACTTAAGCTCACCAAGATCTTTCATCTTAAACTTGGTTGCCAAGTAATACTTTAATTTCAAGGTTTCTTCCTTATCATCGCTTGTAACAATCATGTCATCCACATAAATAATGAGTGTTGTTAATTTACCCACTCGACGTTTTAGGAAGAGTGTATGGTTGGAATTGCTCTGCCTAAACCGATACTTTCTCATAGCCATCCGAAACCTCCTAAACCATGCTCAATGTTATTGTTTCAATCCATACAATGCCTTGTTCAATTTCAATACTTCTCCCGATTGTGATATTGATGTACCCTGGTGGGATTTATATGTACACCTCTTCCTTAAGATTCCTATGTAAAAAAACATTTTTCAAATCAAATTGTTGTAATGGCCAATCTAAATTGGTTGCCAATGGGAGCAACACTCTAAATGTATTATTCTTTGCTACCAGAGCAAATGTTTCTATATAGTCAACATAAGTCTAGGTGTAACTCTCGACCACTAGTTGTGCCTTATACCTTTCAATGGACCTATCAAATTTGTACTAGATTGTATACAACCACCTACACGCTACTCTTCTTTTTCCTTGCAGCAATGTAACCAAATCCCTCGTTCGGTTCTTTTAAAGTGCATTCATTTCTTCCTCCATCGCCTGGGTCCACTGAGCATTGGATAATGCTTCCTTCAAGGAACTCGGAGTACTATCAATGGATACTTGTTGTATGACAGCTTTGTTGGGTTTTGACAATTTCTGTGATGACACATTGTTGGCAATAGATATTTGTTTCTTTTTCCCTCGTCTGGCAAGTATCGAGGATGTGGTATTCCTGAATTGTAACTGCAAGATAACTGAGAACTCAAAATATTAGACACATCAATAGGCGTAGTAATTAATATCATCAATAACCTCAACCTCAAGTGGTTGCACCATTGCAGCCATGTCTAGTGGTTGTTTGACTGCCATTGGCACTGTTCCCGTGGCTTTCTGTGTGGGCAGTAGCACTGCTAGCCAAGTTGGCAGTGTTGCAGCTGTTATTGGTTGGGCTGGCAGTGCCATGTTATCTATTGGCATATTTAGGGCTGGTTTGGTATTGCTGTGCTTTGAAAAAAAGCTGCTGTGAGAATAAGCGGCTGTGCTGTGAGAATAAGCGGCTGTGAAATAAAGCCAGTAGAGTGTTTGGTAAACTTTTTTGTGAAAGTGCTTTTGGAAAAAAAAGCAGGATGATAGTGTGTCTTTTCATTAAAGGAGCACTGTAGCTCCGTGTGCTTTGAAAAAACTGGCTTTTTTTCAAAGCAGCAAATAGCAGCTTCAGCTTTTCCTTTGATTTTCAGCTTATTCTCATAGCAGCTTCCAAAATAAGCCCTTTTTTTTCAGTTTACCAAACACAAAAATGACCCTCAGCTTTTTTTCACAGTGGCTTTTTTTAAAATCACCTCAATCCCAAACGAGGCCTTAGCAGTGCCATTGGAGCTGCTGGCTATGCTTGTAGTTTGGTCCAGTTCTGGTTTTCATTCCTTGTCTATCCCTGAAGAGTAGGGTTGGAGGAAAATGAAGGATGAGGTTACATCCGTAGTGACATACATATGTCAAGTGGGGGATGATAGCAATAATACCCTTTTTGAAGTACTTAATACCCCATAAAAATGCAACGAAGAGCACAAGGGTCAAGTTTTGTCTGTTGATTTTTTAAAGGTGAACAAATCCGACACACCCAAAGACATGGGGTGGTATCATTAAGAGGGACGTAGAGGCTTGTAATAGTGTTTAAAAATCCAAGATTTTGGACGGCATTCGATTGATATGTAGCAATTTGAATTGCAACATCCCAAGAGAAGCATGGGACAATCGCACCAATTAACTAGGCCCGGCTAGTTTCTAAAAGATCTTGATTTTTTCGCTCTGCCACCCTATTCTATTGAGGGGTCTGAGGACAAGAGTTTTATGGAGGATACCAAGATTAGTCAAATAATGGGCAAAATCATGATTAACATATTCTTTGCCATTATCAGAATGCAAAATCTGCATTTTAGCATGAAAATGAGTCTAAACCATGGTGTGAAACACCTTGAAGGCTGAAAACATATCACTTTTTTTCTTAAGAAGATACAGCTAGGTCATTCGTGTGCAATCATCCACAAAAATCACAAT